ATCTATAGCTCACAAACCTTGACCTTAACCAGTTGAATGATAGTAAATTGTCAGTATCCCAGCTTCTCCTGGGACACACAGAGTTGAGTTTTATTGACTCTAACTTTTTTTTTGTTTTTTCTATCTCACATCCAAATGGAAACATATAAGTAGGTAAAAGATATATTATGAGGTATACATCTAAATGTGGACATCATTGGCATAGTGATGATATCACACTTTTGACATGGTATTGCATGAGGTTGCCTGGGGGAAAATAACATCTAGTAAAGGAGAAGATCTTGGATCAAGCTCTAAAGAATGCAAAGATCTGTGGACCTGACTTCTAAAGAAGCCATAAGAACAGAGAACATTTGCAACTGATCTAGTGAAAAGGAACATTTTGCTAAAGTTTAGTTCTTAAGACTGTATATGTATTTGTTGTAACTAGAATGGGAATGACTTCAAAGGCTCATATGTTTCAGTATTTCATCCATGGTTGGTAGAATTGTTTAAGAAGGATTAGGAGGTACACCCTCGTTGGAGAAAGTGTTTCACGGGGTAAGGGGAACTTTGAGTTTCCAAAAGTCCATGCTACACCTAGACTCTCTCTCTCAATCCTGCATTTGAATCAAGATGTAAGTCCTCAGTTACTGCTCCACTGCCATGCCTGTCTGCTTGCTCTAATGCTACTAACCATGATGATCATGGACTCTAACCCTCTGAAACTGTAAGCTCTAAATTAGGTATTTTTCTATAAGTTTCTTTGGCTGTGGTGTCTTATCACAGTCGTAGAAAAGTAATTAGGGCTGGAGAGGTGGCTCAGAGGTTAAGAGCAGTGCTTGCTCTTTCAGAGGTCCTGAGTTCAATTCCCAGCAACCACATGATTGCTCACGACCATCTATAATGAGATCTTCTTCTTGTGTTCAGGTATACATGCAGGCTGAAAATTGTATACATAGTAAACTAAATAAATCTTAAAAGAAAAAAAAAACAAAGAAAAATAAATCTTCATAACTCTTGGTCTCTATAGATTAGCTTCTGAATAGGGTATTTCACTGACATGATATGGTCTTTAAGTATGATATAAATGATATGGTCTTTAAAATCTTCTCTGAAATGTTCTTATATATATGAAATGAATCCAGAAATATACTAAGGCCTAGATACTACATTCATTCAATAGGAGAAAAAACCTTCAGTGAACAATGGTAATATTACAAACTTAAGAGGTTACAGGTTATTTTTGGAAATTTATCTTTGTTTCTGAAACTTTAAATCAATAATTCAGTTGAAAAATTTGGGTTGAATTTATTTGCTGTTCATGTTCTCTGTAGCTCTTGTGTTAATGAATAAGCAAATATCACATATGATCTATATTATACATAGGTATATGAAAATTCTAGAATCATAATGGGCTGAAGAGATGGTTCAGCCATTAGGAGTGTTTGCGGCTTTCACAGATGACACAAGTTTGTTTCCAGCATCCACATTAGTTGTGACTCACAAACACCTGCAATTCAAGCTCCAGGGAATATGACACTATCTTATAGCCTCCACTGACAAGCACATTCACATACAAAGATGCTCTTCTTTCCCAAAGACGTGTGCTCATACACGTAATTAAATGTTTTCTTAGTCTTTAAAAATAATAAATAAAATAAAATGTATTAATAATTGTGCCTTTCAGATTAGTGATAGTCTAATTTTTTAAAGTGCTTACTTATAAAACTATGAAATTGGAAGACATATTGAGAATCTTTTTGAATATAAAGCCAACAATTTTATTTCATCTTTATGTTTGAGACTCTGGCACTTGGGATAGACTAATTTTAACTCTTCGTTACATCATTCATCAATCATTTCTCAAATATAGCCCTTTTGTTATTTGGTCATTGTTTACTTTCAAGAATCAAGTGGTTATCCAGACTCTAATAGAATACCCCATTAAAATCCTTGGCTATCACTGATCCATCCTCTTTTTTTCCAACCAAAGGACCAATTGTCCAGCATCCTATATTTGTCTCTTCTTCTTTCAATTTTGTTTAACTATAACTATTTTCCTCAAAACTCTATGTATATTTAAAATATATATTCTGCACTTTTAAAGTTATGAAGCGTTGTCTGTCTATATTTTATAATTTTTATCACTTAACATTGTGATGCTAAGATTAAGTGATTTTATTTCATTAATATGAGGATAAAATATGTTTATTGAGTGAATATACCCTAATCTACTTTTCCCCTGCTTCCGGCCATTTTAGTGGACTTAGATTTTTGTTGATATGAACATAGCACAATAAACACTTTTTTATAAATGTTCTGTTATGAGTGAAGAAATTCCTCTTTACTACACACGTGTCCACACACAAACATAGACAAACACGCACACACAAAGAGAGAGAGAGACAGGCAGAGAGATAGATAGGAAGAGAGGGAGAGAGAGATACATATATACATGTGGAATTTACCTATTAAAGTATTTGAACTCTGGTGGCATTACAATGATATCTAAATAAACATGTGGCTAAAAAATAAAAAGATTTCTTTCTATTCATTATTTCAGGTATATTATACATTTTTAAAACATGTTAGTTGTACGTAGGAAAAAGTAATTAATTAAAAATTATATATGTCTTATTTTTGGATGATTTTTCCCAATTCTTCTCTCATGAGCTTTCAAGCCAGATTTGTGATATATGATCACTGTGATCAGTTTGTTCCTCTCTTTGAACATTCCACCACACAGAGTGCCAGAGAGTGAAAGCATGCATAAAGCTTCCAGTTAACCACCCTGCTTACTCTGGAAACTCTTCCCGTGCCAAGCGACTTTCCAAAAGAACGTCCACTGACTACTCAGCTGTGAAAAGGCTTTTGTCAAATACACCACAGTACATGGACAAATCTCCAGTCTGCAGCAATGAGATTTCAAACGCACATAGAACTCAAACGCACATAGAACTGATCCATGTGATTAACTGTTGTAGGAATTCACTCAATTAGACTTCCGGATCTTTCATATTTTTTTATAAGACACCAAATTACTTAATGTAAATGCAAAGTTATATTTGTATGTCTCAGACATCAGAAACAGCTAAGGCATGTCCTTTAAACTGGGAAGCAGAAGGGATAAGAAATATCTGTGTGAAACTTCTTAGTCTGCAAGGACAAGCTAGTTTGATGACCATTTCTTATGTTTATTGTCTCCTGTTGGGATACATGGACTTTCCAGAAGAGTGACAATAATGACATAAATAAGAGGGGAACATACAGATGTTATATTGATATATTGTTTCTTGCATCTTGTTAACTTAAACAGTTTAATACAGCACAACAAAATAGGTCAAACATTGCATCAGGATGCATTAAAGGTGGCAACTTTCACATTTATAAGTGTGGTGCATTTTTAAGAGGGCTAAGCTGAAAATCTATCTGTTTCTAAGTACATGATATTTGCCACTATGAGTCAAGACAGACAAATGACATATTTTATAAAAAGTACATCAAATTGTGTTTGTTGCCACAAACACAAAAAGTCATTCGTAATTGAATTAAATAAAAAGGAAATGATAATGACATGCCTGCTCCTAGATATGTTGGAAGAGAAGGTTTATTATAGATGTGAGAAAGCCTAGCCAGAGGCAGGAACATCTGGAAGAGTCCAGAGCAGTCATGACCCTGAACCGTATGAGGAGAGTGGAGTGGAAGAGAAAGGGGAGAGAAGGGAATGAGGTGCAGCAGCCAGGGGGGACCAAAGGTACAAAGACAGCAGGTAACCAAAATGGTTAGATTACATGGGGAAGAGCAGGACAGCCGCTAGGCTGGAGAATTCAGTGTAGGATGCAGGGAGTACCAGCCCAGAAGGCCCTGTAACAGGTAGGGGATGCTGGAAGAACCTGGTTGCTAGTGTCCACTTTGGTATGTTAAACTGGCACCTCAGCCCTTTGTCCCAAGCTTGAAACCTAACTGAGCTAGTGTGTACATTAAAACAAAACAGCCATCGGAACCTGGAGTGGCTGATTGAATCATCTCTCAAATTAGAGTATTATTTCTCAATACAGAGTATGTATTTTTGAGCTTACACCTTTCTACTATAAATGTTGGCAGACTATCATAGGAGCAATGACATTTATGTAGTTCAAGGATAAAAATCACACACAGTTGTTCTTTAGCCTTATGAGACCAAGAGCTAATTTGCATATAACCTATGAGCCTGAAGAAGTTCTGAGCCAGTGTAGTGGTGAAACCCAACAAGCTAATAAGACCTGTGGCTATTTGTCACCCAATCAACCGCCATCGGTATTTTTAAAATAAACAAATGAAAGTAAAAAAATTAAACTTTTAAGGCAAGTGCTGACCAGCGAACTGTTTCCCATTGAAAATGCCCAAAGGAATTCTAGGTACTTTGACTGGTGAAAAGTATGACCTGGTTTTCTTTGACCCAGAAAAAGAGAGACCCTGGAGAACAGTGGTTTAACAGTGAGACCTCCAGCTTAGAAAGAAGCAGGAACATTTCTCACAAGATCCCTCCCCCAACACCAGGCTTAGCCCTTAGCCTAAAAGAGTCTACAAATTATACTGACGCCAACTCCACAGTCCCGGACACAAACACAATGGGCGGGTGTGGGCTATGGTTCCTGTTCAAGATCATCACTGAATTCTGAGATCCAAAGTCCAGATAAATCGTGAGCAAGGAAAGAGACTGACTTGATCCCAGTGGCAACTTTGTTTTCTCCCTCTTATCTAAGCGAGGCATTGGACCCTCTTGGCCCAGTGTGTTCCCAGTGCTGAGGCGCCAGCTGTGTTCCTGACCCTTGAATAAATCAGGGCCATGCAGAGTCTGGCTGGGCTCTGGACACATTTCCTGTCACAGCCTAGGGGAAACAGTTGGCCAAGAGAATCTGGTGTGGACTTTTGGCTGTTGGGGGATGAGGGCTCAGGAGACAGGAGGGGAGGGCACTCACAGTGCTAGAAAGGACTGTAGAGGGGGCGTGACTCCAGAGACAGACCGGGTGCCCTCAGGCAAGACAGAGGACTTGGAGCAGCTCTGAGCTCTGAGCCTCCAGGATGAGGCCGGCGCTTGCCCTGTGCCTCCTCTGTCCCGCGTTCTGGCCCAAGCCAGGGAGTGGCGAGCACCCTACGGCAGATCGCGCTGCCTGTTTGGCCTTGGGGGCTTGCTACAGCCTGCACCACGCTACCATCAAGCGGAGGGCAGCAGAGGAGGCCTGCAGTCTGCGCGGCGGGACTCTCAGCACCGTACACTCAGGCTCCGAGCTGCGTGCCGTGCTCACTCTCTTGCGTGCAGGTCCCGGGCCTGGCGGAGGCTCCAAGAACCTTCTGTTCTGGGTGGCTCTGGAGCGCGGCCGTTCCCAATGCACCCTGGAAAAAGAGCCTTTGAGGGGTTTCTCCTGGCTATACCCAGACGGGAGAGACTCGGAGGAGTACACACTGCCGTGGGTGGAGGAGCCACAACTTTCTTGCGCTGTACGAAAGTGCGCCGTGCTCCAGGCTACCGGAGGAGTGGAGCCTGCAGGCTGGAAGGAGATGCGCTGCCACCTGCGCGCAGACGGCTACCTGTGCAAGTACCAGTTTGAGGCTCTGTGCCCTGCGCCGCGCCAGGGAGCCGCCTCTAACTTGAGTTTCCAAGCCCCCTTCCGCCTGAGCAGCTCAGCGCTGGACTTCAGCCCTCCAGGGACCGAGGTGAGTGCGATGTGTCCTGGGGAGCTCTCAGTCCAGGCAACCTGCGTCCAGGAAGAGACAAGCGCACGCTGGGACGGGCTTTCCCCCGGGTCCATGCTCTGCCCCTGCCTTGGGAGGTACCTTCTTGCTGGCAAGTGCGTGGAGCTCCCTGAATGCCTAGACCACTTGGGAGACTTCACTTGTGAATGTGCCCCCGGCTTTGAACTAGGGGAGGACAGACGCTCTTGTGAGACCAAAAGGAAAGGACAGCTAACCCCTGAGGGGACCAAGCTGCCCATCAAGCATGTTTCAGCCACTCCAGCCAGCCCTATGACAAACAGAACACCGCCAGGCCAGGTTCATGAGATGCCCCAGGTCACCGGACAAGACAGTTTTGGAACATCTGTTCCAGAGATTCTTCAATGGGGAACACAGAGTACTTTACCTACTCTTCAAAAGACCCCACAAACCAAGCCAAAAGCCACAGTCACTCCATCAGAAAGCATGATCCCCACGTTAACCTACACATCTTCTTCCCCCTCGTTCTCCCCGACTTTCAACTTCTCCTCCACAGTGGTCTTCATACTTGTGAGCATAGCAGTAATAGTATTAGTAATTTTAACCATGACAGTGCTGGGACTTTTCAAACTCTGCTTCCACAAGAGCCTCTCCTCCCGGACCAGCAAAGGAGCTTTGGACTCACGCTGTGTGGAAAGTGATGCTGAGGCCACTGCTTTGCGCCACAACTCTGACAATGGAGTAAAGGTTGGGGACTGTGGCCTTCGGGGCCGAGCTGAGGGTTCTTCACTGACTGAGGCCTCTCTTGGCTCAGGGGACACTTAGAGAAATAGCTCAGTGCTCACACTTTGTGTAGACTTCTTCAATTCCAATTAACGGGGAACAAGATTTCTGCAATGATTCCTTCAGATGTTCCCCTTCCCATAAATTCTCTTTCCTCCACCAAGGAACTAAATCCGAAAGGCATCCTCATTCCCTGAAAGTGAAAGAGGTGGAGGCCTTCTGCTGGCACTAGAGGACAGAGTGGATAAAGGGAGCAGGCATTTTCTTGGGCTCTGGGGGAGTTTGGAGAAGTGTCCGATTATTTCCAGTACTGGAAGGAAAAGAAAAAAAAAAAAAACAATATATTTTCGAATGTTTATTTTCATCAAAATGAGAAGGAAATGTCTATATTATTCAGGCTAGGAATATATTAGCTTGAAATTTTACATTCAAATAATAAAACATTGCTGAGAACCTAGACTAAAATGTGTTTGACTTTTGCAAACAGGGATGTTTAGGAGTATAGCATGCTGAGGAGAGCGAATGGCTACAGGGTACACTCTGCACTTTGACAGGAAGTCTATATGTCCTAGCTCTTTCAGAATGGGTAAAGTTTCCTTTTATTCTTTTATCCTTTGTTTTCAAAGTCACTGTGACAGTGTGCTCTGCTATAAATCCTAAGTCCAATGTTGCCAGTTTCTGACTCTAGAAGCAAATCACAGTTGACCACCAATCTGACTGTTTGCTGTGTGTCCTTGCCCAGAGAAACAAATGATTTGTGTCTTCCTTCTCCAATGCTTATGCTCTCCAGTGTAATGACTTTTCTCTTCAGACCACCTTGTAGAGATCAGGATGCCGACCCTCACTTCTAATTATGATGCTGTTAATTCTCAATTACCACGTTAATGCTAAGTATTGATTTGAAGTCTTCTGGGTGCATTAAAGCAAAGGAAGTTTGGCTTTTTCCAAAGTTGCTAGATTCTCATGCCCTATTTATTCCACGGGAGAGGGAAGTGACTTGAATGTCAAGTCACTTCTGTTTCTTCTCAATAGAGTGTAAATACAATGACAATGTGTGTGCATCAGGCGGTGGCTACAATTGAACCAGAGTCATGACAGGCAAAACTAAGGGAAACAGCTTTCCATAGAATTAATAATGTATAAAATAAATAATAAATAAAAATCTATCATCATATTATGACTTGCGGTATTAACAAATAATAAAATTCACACATTCAGGTGGTAAATAATTAAGGCATAATAAAAATAAATGATCTGGTGAAATCCAAAGGCCTTGGAGAATATTTTTGTTACATTAGTGTGCTGAATTTTTTTTTTTAAGTGTTGTGAAGTTGGTGTGTGAAGAGAAATAAACTTACTCATGGGAGAAAATGAAAGTAAGATAAAACTTGGGCTATATTTTTCTAGAATCGTTTTTATTCACTAGATTATACTGAGGGTTGATTTAAAAATAACCAATAGTAAAATAATTCAGAAAATTAAGAGCGCTTTTACATTCTAAATACAAAACTATGTGTCTAATATTGTATCACTAAAGGAATAAATTGAAAGAGGGCTTGCTTCATATGTTGAATATGATTTTAAATAGTTGCAATTAAATAAAATCACAAATAAATGCAAATTAACAACTGTTAAGACTCTTCAATTCGAAGCTGAAACTAACAGTTATGTGGGTGAGTGGCTCAGCCCATCTTCCTCAACTGGTTCAGTTTTGCTTGTTCTTAGACTTACAGCTGTCCTCTCCACGATATGATTTCTCAAGAGTGGTGACAACTATTCTAGTACAATATATCCTGTTTGAGTTTATAGCTTGGGAAATAGCCTCATCTATAAGTGGACTGAACACACATATCACACACATATACATATGCACATATATGCTTATATGGACATATATACATACATGCATAACTAAGTGCATGTGTATATGTGTATATGCGTATATGTAAACATTTTGTTTTAAAGAATGTGCTTATAGTAGCCTTTCAGTAAAGTAGAGCATTCATCATTAACTCATCACACAATATGCAGCAGATGATAGTGTGGATCTAGGGCATTAAATGTCCTATGTTGAAAAAAGAAACCATGTCACTCCAATTACTTGGCTATTGTCCCATGTAATTCACTGATCAGAGAAGAATTTAAAAAAAAAAACATTCTTTGTTGATATCTTAAAGTATTTCTTGAAAGACAAGGCAACAAAGAACTTCCTTTGATTTCTGGCTGTGGTGGTGACTTCCAAATGTGTTGATTCAATGGCAGAATATAGCCAGCCACAATCTCTTGAGTCTATTTGCAGGTAGGGGTAATGTTCTTTCTACTACTCCTCTACTTTCTATTATTTTCTCAACATGTTTGAGGGTAATTTCTTTGTTTGTTAAAGCCTTTTGCTTTCACACCCATCTTTCCCACTCACCCATATCCTTACAATTAAACATGCACTCTTTCTTACAGTCTTTCTTTCTATTCTAAACTCTGCCATTGTTTTACACAATAATATATTTTTTGCATAAAGTATAATGCACATTCACTTCAGTTTTTTTATCTTTCATACCCAGTGACCTCCATTTCATTTTAGTTATCCATTCTATACCCACACAAATTAAGATTCTGAAATTTTTTTCCCCAGACCTCAAAGTCAGACCTTCATGTGCAAATGTTAAAACTCGTGCTTTAATGAATTTGGCTGTGATTAGAAGCAAATGGTTGCTGTTTGAACTTTGACATTTTTCCTTTCATAAATTAATAAGCCTTATAAAGAAAATTAGCCTGAGATCGAACCATTCTTTTAATTGTTTAATATCTATTGACATTGCAAGTTTATTAAAAACAGTTGTTTTGCATGAATGTTGAAGGGTTAACCAACAACCAGCAGGTTCACAACAAGGTTCAATGATGTAAAGCTTGGTCCACAGGAGGAAATTCATATGACCAAGAATCATGGCTGGGGAACTAATAAACACCAGGCCAGAACCAAGTACCACTATTTTGCTAAACAAATACAGTATCAAACCTTCCAAATACTTGTAATCATAGATCAGTGAAGCACCTACCCTCTCATTAGGGAAGATTTCTGCAATGGATGGCGGTTAACATAGAAACTTACACGTAGTCAAAATGCAAAGAATAAGTATTCTTTCTTTGTTTTTGTTATTTATTTGAGCCATGGATTGTAATGTAAGCAGAGTTTTTTAGACCATCAGCAAATACAATAATGACAAGAAGACCTTTATATTTATTATAACCTTTTGGCATTATAGCTGGGCAAATTCTCAGCTATTCTAACCTTATTATACTAGCCTGGCCTATTTTCCACCACATGGCTCCTTACCTGCCATTTTAGTCTCATTCTGGAACCTGCTTCTTCATCCATGTCCCAGTGTTGACTCCTCTCTCTGGTTCCCACCTGAAACCCTCTCTCTGGGCCTAGAAGTTCTGCCTAACTCTCCAATCCAGCTATTGGTTGTTCAGCTCTTTATTTAACCAATCAGAAAGTGATGGAGAACAGTGTTTACAAAATACTAAGACAAGATTTACTTCATAATAATTACAATACTAAAGTCTTGCCCATAATTAGATCTCTGCCAGAAGAGAAATTAGCATATCAATAATGCAGAGATAATCTTTACACAGTGCACAAAAACATCACTCCAACATTAAAAGTCATTTAATTTCACTAATTATTAGTTTTGATGATCTTTTATTCTTGATTTGTACTTGTTATTAGTTAACAATTTTAATAAAGTACACTTAGCATAATATAATTCTCCTATTGGAAGTATAATAAAAATGTTGTACATTTACAAAATGGTGGAATCATCATTATAAATAAGCTTTAAAAATTTGTTTAACCATACTTTTTAAGCACAATAATTTTTATTGGTTCACATTAATTGTGGAAATTAATAGGATTCACAGTTAAATTCTCAACCATGTTGTGTATAGATCACATCTGTTGTTATCTACTCCAGAATTTATTTAGCCATTCATCTGTTCAAGTCCTTTGGGCTATGTCCTGGCTATTGAGAACAGTGCTGAAATAGGCTTAGGTTTGCAGGTACCTTTTTTGTATGTTGATTTTATTTCCTTTGGATTTGTACCCAACAGTAGTACAGCTGGTTTGTATAACATTTCTACTTTTAGGTATGAAGTTTCCACAGTGGTTGTACTAATTTATATTTCCACCAAAAGTGTGCAAGAATTCCTTCTTCTTCACATCTTCATCATCATTTGTTGTTTTGATTATTGTTATTATTATTAATGATAATAATTATTTCACAATTCTTACATATAAATATGATAATAATTTAACATAACTCATAGCTATTCTAATCTAGATAATAAGATAATAACTCATTATAGAATTGCTTTGTGATTTTCTGATGCCTAATGACATGGAGTAATTTTTTATAAATTAATAATCATTTGTATTTCTTCTCCAAAATGTGTCTATTCATATCTTCTGCACAGTTTTAATAAGATTACCTATTTGCTATTGTTTATATCCTTTGGATATTAGCCTGTTTTCATATAGCTGGGCCACACTTTCTCCTACTGGAAGGTTGTTTCTTCACTCTGTTAATGAAATACAGAAGTTTCATTATACAAAAGCTTTTTTGGTATGTTGTGACAGTCTTTGCAAATATTTAATTTTTTTCCTCTGTTCTTTGCAGACTTAGACAGGAAATTATTACATATATCAAAATCATGAAGTGTTTAGCTATACTTTCCTCTAGTGGTTGTAGAATAAAAGGTTTTTTTTATCAATTTTAAATTGATTTTTGTACAAGGTGATAGATAGGTGTCAGGATTTAATCTTTTGCCAGAACTACTTGTAGAAGAGGTCGACACTTTCTTAGTGCATGTTCTTGGAATGTTTGCCTAAAATTAGGTAGCTGAAAATTGTTTGTTTGTATCTTATATTTTCTGTTCTGTTTCATTAGTTTATATGCCTGTTCTTGGGCCAACACAATGATTTATTTTTACTGAGGTTGTATGGTGTGTCTTAAAATCAGTTATTATTATACATCCAACTTTGTTCTTTTCACTCAAGATTGCTTTGCCTACACAGGATCTTTTTTAATGTCTTACAAATTTTAAGATTGTTTTCCTAGTTATATAAGGAATGTCATTGATATTTATATCACAGGTGTTGTGTTGAATATATAAATCATTTTGAGTAATATGGATATTTTAACAATATTGATTATTCTAGTTCATGAACATGGGAGGCCTTTCTGTCATCTAGTTTTAGTCATTGTTATATAATGTAAAGTCTTGTTATTCATTGTAAAGTCTTTCACTACCTTGTTAAGTTTACTTCTATGTTGTTTTGAACATGTGTATATGTCTCTTTTAAATTGTATTGCCTTTATAATTTATTTTGCAGCAAATTCACTATTGCTGTCTAGATGTTAACTAAATTCATTTTTCATTTTTGATGGAATCCTTAGCTTTTACTATGTGTACAATCATATCATCTACAAACAGTGGCAAATTGATCTCCTTCCCTACTAATTCTATGTCTTTTATTTCTTTCTCTTGACTAATGGTTTGTCTAAAGCTTCTAGTAGTAGAATGGATAAAAACAGTGGGTATAGATGCTAATGCTATAGGTCTTCCCTTCTGTTCTTATATCCAATATGATATTGGTTATGGGCTAGACATGTTAAGGCCTTTATTATGTTCAGATACTTGATCTTTGTAGGCTTAAATTTTCCAACTTACCTACTTTATTGAGGGTTCTTAAGTTCTTATACCTCCCTTCCACCCACTAACAGAGGTAGGAGAGAAAGAAGATTATTAGGTAAAGGGAGTTGTAGACCTTTTTAGAAGTAGTTCCTTGGTATGAGTCCACTCTTCGTTGTCTGGACACCAGCAGTCCAGTCCACAGGAACAACACAAATCAGCATGATTCAGAAGATTGGGACACAAGACTCAGCTGGATCACCCCCGAAAATTCTCTGGAATGTTTCTCTTTGGGAAGTCAAGCGTTGAAGCATGAAGATCAGTACAACGATGTCGATCCAAAAAGTCGATCCACTGTCTGTGGGCTTCTATGCATTTCCTCTCCTCAGAGTACACCCACGGATGTTCTCAGCTGACCAAAGCCACTCCTCTCACCCAAGTCAGCTTGCAGAAAAACATGACATATCTTCTCACAAGACAGTTTCTAGAAAAACATCAAATAAGTCTTCAAAGTAACCAGAAACTTCCACTTTAGATCTTCCTATGCCTAATTTGTTCATGAATTTTATCATTAATACTTAGTCTTATTAAATTATTTCATGCATATAGAGATTATCACATAATTTTAATTTTATAGTCTTTTGATTCAATTTGATAAATTGTGGCTAAAATTTCGCCTATTTCTTCTAGATTTTCCAGTTTAATAGCATGTAGTTCTCCAAAGTAACCCCTAACAACCTGAATTTGTGTAGTATTACTTGCAGTATCTCCCTTTGCATCTTTAATATTTAAAAAACTTTTTCTCGATTCTTTGTGAGTTTCACATTATGTACCCCAATCCCACTCATCTCCCTGTCCCTTCTTATCTGCCCTTTCAACTCTCCCCAAAGATAGATAGATAAATAAATAAACAAACAAACAAATAAATAATCTCATTGTGGAAGCTGCAGTGTGTCACAGTGTGTCACAC